TGAGGGAAGCTGCTTCTCCGAAGCCTTTCTGGAAACCCTTCGGACTGAGGGAAGCTGCTTCTCCGAAGGCTTTCTGGAAACCCCTCGGAGAGGAGACTGTCTGAGGGAAGCTGCTTCTTTGAAGGCTTTCTGGAAACCCTCCGGAGAGGAAACTTTCTGAGGGAAGCTGCTTCTCTGAAGGCTTTCTGGAAACCTTTCGGAGAGGAGACTTTTTGAGGGAAGCTGCTTGTTGCGCTGCAGGTCTGCGCTGACCTCTGACACAATCCATTCCGACCCGAAACCAACCACCTTAAAAGGCATTTCATCAGCAGTCAGCACGATGGGCTCCAAACCAGGGCGGTATAGTCCCCGAGGGACTGCGGCGCGGAAGAGCTGCACACCTTCTTCACCAATAAATTTTAGGAACTCATGTTCCCACTGCTGGACGAGGTGTGGGGGACACATGATCAGCGTTGCAGAGCTCTTGATGTAGCCTCGCGGCCTTTGGCCACCATCCTGCACTTGTGTGCGATCTTCTGAGAGCAGGCCTATGGTTGTGGCAGTCTTACCGTACCCCATCTTGTCAGCAAGCAGTCCACCTTTGAGGCCTTCACCTCGTGCTTCCTGCTTGTACATCCAGGCCAGCGACCGCAGTTGCTGCTCATCTCTCAGTGGAAACTGCTTGAAGGCCGCTGGGTTGCTGGCTGTCGGCCCGGCATTACCGAGCAATTGGAACCTCTGCTCCGGGTCCTCGCGTCGTGGCCGTTTCGCGGCCGGAAGAGCCCAAATCTCTGGGTCTTCTACCTCATACTGAGTTGCCGCAGTTGCTGCATGCCCCTCCGCTGAGGATTTGCTCTCCTCCATATCCGGCTCTTTGCGAGTGGAGTGAAGGCTCTTGTGGCCCAGCCTCTGCAGCATCCCCAAAAGTGATCAACTCCAGTTCTCGAATGCGCTGTGGGGCTGTACCGGATGCCTCAGATCCTAAGCACATCTCTTCAAGCCTGCGCAATCGTGGCACTAAGCCTTCTCCAGAAATCGCTTTGTCCAGGAATACCTGCTCCAGTCGGGCAAGCCGGTCCAGCAAAGTAGCCATGGCAGCTGGGATGTAAGTCCCTGTGATGAAGCTGCTGTAGACTGTAGACTGGCACATCCCATAGCTGGATACAAATGTCTGCCTACCTACAACATGCGTGAGCCATCATAGAGGCATCCCCCCAAACATTACCTCCGAGAAGCATGCCTGTTCGGTCGGGGACATACTGGAGCCAAGACAGAAAAGGGGCCAGCAACAATTGTGCTCACTGGCATGCTTGGGCTGATGTAGCCAACGCTCTCTGGTGCACCGCGAATCAGCTGTGTTGGCACCACCTCGAAAGTGCACAACCCTGCCGGAGCCCCTTTTTTGACATTAGGTCCCGCCGAGTTCAGCCTGGACCACATACCAGGCACCTGCAAACTTTTGGAGTGACCCAACCCTCTCTGCTGAGCACAAGGTGGCACATGGACTGGGATGTGAAGGCCTGCGCAATGTCTCCCAGATGCAGTCCTTGTATGATGCCGTGGCGTATGCCTTAAAATCTGTCCGTGCCTGGCAATGTGGCGGCGTTGCCCAATGCCTTCACTGCCTGAACAAGGCCGAACTACGTTTTGTCTAATTTGGCACAAGTCTGTGGGATGCACCCAAACTGCTCTCACCTTGCTGGCGGAAATGGGTGCACCGTGAAAAGCGACTATACACGTAAGATGAGTCGAGGCAGTAGGGGACAGCAACAAACACGAACACATGTTGCACGCTCATGACGCAAGTCCTACAGTACCTATGTTTAAGTTGGTCCATGCCTCATCCGGGTGCAAGCGCCAGTGGAGTTGTCCGGGCAGAGGTGCTCGTTCACCTGCAGCCAACTGGTTGAACCACCCCCATGTTTTCCGGGCCTCGAAGGCTTCTTAAGACGTTGCATGGATGGTTCGGAGTGGGGTAAGCTTTCGTCGGGCATAGCTCTTCCGTTCTCTAGGAAGCCTACGGAAAACAGTGCAAAGTTGTGTTGCGAGTTCTCTCTCAACCTCATCATGAGATGGTAATGAGTTAAAACCATTGACAGGCTGGTGCTGTCTCTTTGCTCTGCTGCTCGGTGACAGGAGTTCGTTTCAGGCACATTTCGTACAACTGATAAGGGATGGTTTGGAGCTGGGTCCAGAAACAAGACAGAAAACAAGGAGAAGGCAGTAGTCGGTCCATATCCTGTCTCTCTTACATTGAGCTGTACCAAGGCATTGCAGGGCACGAGCAGTCGAACAAGAATGCAACTTTCACCGCGGATCTCTGCCCGAGTGCATCACAATACTGATCATCCTTTACCCCTGCAACATCTGAAGTATACCCTTTAAGAATAAGTCTGTTAGACTCTATTCTGTCCTAGTAAGGCACCCAAACTTCAGCAGATTCTGTGCAACAACCTGTGTCAACATGAACAATGACCAGGGCACTCTCAAGATTCTGAAACGACATCTCCTGACACCCAGCCCGAAAGACCAGCCTCGCGCAAGAGCCTCGGAGTCATGAAATTCACCCACGCTTGGCTTGCACTGACATGGTAGTTTCCCAAAATAGGGGGACTCCAACATAAACCCCAAAATACTACATAGGGACCCCCCAAAAAGGTACCTCTAGTCTTGGGAAATCTCCACATATTCTACCATGTCCCATCCCGGCAGGTGTCACAATGAATCACAATCATGCTGTCCGATCCACTGTGATGACAGCTGACTTGCCTCCTTGCGCTACGTACAGTCTCATCAGAATTGAGGGCATGCATGGGGTAAAAGTCAAGCATGTTCCTCCGCACCTCCACCGCATCAAATTCCAAGAAGGAGAGGCCGTTGCCCAGCACACGGATCACCTTTCTGAATCAGCTTGCGCTCTCTCCCTGCGCCTTCATGCGACATGAGTGGCAATTTGTGAGCAATTCCAGACATCGGCCCATGCTTTCTTCCCCTTGCTTTTTGCTCGTGGTCGTGAAAGTTTCGTAAAAGACCAGGACCACTTGTACGACAGAAGAGCTGCGGGGCACTGTGTGCTATTGACTTTTCAGGGACCCATGCAGCTACAACTTACAAGGAGGAGGGAAGCTTTCAAAAACAAGCCATGGAGGGCTGTGGCAGTTGAGCGAGGCTGGTAGTTGCGTTTAGTTCTGGACTCTGCAAACTTCCTGCCTCGCAGTAGGGAGCCGCCGCCTCCGTGTGGCGGACTGAGTCGTCCACGAACAGCGCATCCGTGGGAAGCCAGCCCCTGGACGGATCCTGAGGAACCAAACGTTTAAGACGACCAGGGCCCTCTCAACACCCTGCGAGACCGCTCGGGCTGCGGCCGCCATTAAGTCAGCCTCATCACAGTTGAGCTCTCTAGGAGCAATCCGGTGAGCTTGCATGCGCCGTGGCTGTGCGGGCAATGATCGTTGCAGTATCCCATCACACACGAAGGTGTGCTTCGACTGACGTTGCATGCATCGCCAGAGTGCGACAAAACCGAAGCTGACTCCATGAACTGAGAAGCGCACAATCAGCCTGGCAAGCAAGGCGATCATATGTGTTCGCAGGAGTCTCTGCAAAGGGAGCAGTGCATTCTCAGCACGGGGGGGTGCCTGCCTTCCCTTCACAAAGCCCCGCTCCTGTAGTGCCCTGGAGTCTTGGCCGAAGACCTGTGCGCTGACAGGTTCAGATATGCAGGAATCATGTTGTGGTCGCTTGCTTGATCAATAGAAGAACATGAATGCATATGCTGGTGGCCATTTTAGCTCGAGGGCTAAGAGTTGCTGAGGCTGGGGCATTTTCCGGTTTGAAATGTCGTTCGAGCCCCATTGCCTCTGCATGGTCGCACGCGATGCAAGGGCAGAGACAGCGCTTCAAAAGGCACAGGAAAAGAAGTTGTGATGGGGTTTTCTCTCCTTGAGGTGCGGCAAGATGCAGCTGTCCCGGAAACCGATGGACACAATGAACCTTGCTTCTGCTCTGCTGCCAGATCTTTTTTCACATGATTCGGGGTTTATGAATGCCTCCGCTTTCTTGGTGCTTGACTGCTACTGATCAAGTAATTGGGCTCCGTGGTCATAAGCACGCAACGTGCACTGGCGCCTTCATGAACTCTATATACGAAGATCTGCATCGCTTGCTTGAGAACTAACTCACACTCAGAACCCAAAGTAGTAGTAATTATAATAATAGTAGCAGGCTATTAAGTAGCAATAAGAATAGCCATAGTAGTAATAGTAGTGATCATAATAATTTTGCGTTGAGAAAGCTGAGCTCCTGGCAGTTCGCAGCCCGCCTTGGTAAGATCCTGTCTCAGGACAAATCCGCGCACGAAAAGCCAGCCAAGGTTGTATCAAATCCCCAAAATTACCCTGGGGTTGAGGATTTCAATCCCCAATAATCGCTTGAATACCAATACTCTATCAAATTCGAATAGTCTATCCAGTTTACTGCCAGCCTAGCATTGCAAGGCTACATGAACGGCAGCTCGATGCAGCTACCATTAGGCCAGCCCACCTGGCGGCTGCCCTTTGAATACGTTTGAAGCTAAGGTATATGTGTATCTATCTATATATATATACATACAATGCATATATCTTACATACCATACAGATTGTGCATATAATTCATAGTGTACTAAATCTTGTCTGAAAGCACAAAACCTTGCCACAGTTGTTGTAATAGCTACCAGCTACAATCTGATGCGGTGTACACGTACCAGATGAGGCACTCATCTCCCAGCATTCAAATACACAACTGAAGACATCTCCTAGGTAGCTTTCAATGTTGAGGCCCCCGAATTACTAGCTCACATACTGTCCTTGGTACCCTTGACCGGCTCAGAATGTTCACGAGGCCTCGAAGAGCTGGCCCAGACGTGCCAAGCGCTGCCTTCCGCCAAAGTTCGCCAGGATCTCCTTGGGGGCACTGCTTACTGGGCCGGCTCATATGTGTTTCGGCAGGTAAGCATCCACCTGAACCACACCAAAAAAAATCAGAAGTGTCCAGAAAACGGACGCCCGATTAGACGGTGGATGGCAATCGGTTCTGCTCGTAGATACCCAAACAGGGCACTCCTCATGACAAAGGGATATGTGGATTGGATATCGAAGCTGGCTTTCGTACTTCAAGGTATAACATACCCTATTATACTAGAGTAGTTTCCATTTTATTTTCATTATCCCATATTGACCCCTACATAAACCCTGCATAACCCCTATATAAACCCAATGTATCTACATACATGCCTGTATGGTTTCAACTCAGGTGCTTGGTCTCTTTGCAGCCTGGGCTCTTGTGGCGTCATGGATGCGAAGATCTCAGGGCTGTCAGCAACAGCGTGCCTGCGATGGGTTTAGGGCAAGACTCAGACCTCACAAGTAAGGAACAATCAATCCAGAAACCAAGCCCTGCAATTGCAGCGTTGATGTTCGCCACAGGCCAGAGGAACAGGCTCAGTGTTTTGCCAAGCTGCCGATGAAATCGGGGCAGTTTGATGGGTGTTGTCCTGGGCAATTGTCGACAACGTGTATTCTTGTTTAAGCTCTCGAGAAGAACCGACCTAGACATTTTTTCTTGTCTCTGTCAGAGCATCATGGTGGAATCGAAGTCGAAGAAGACGCCGCGCTTCATGGGGCCAGAGTTCCCCCATAGAGGCCAGGCCAGAATATGAGATCAACGGCAATCACATAGGAATTCCGTATAAACAGGCTGGATTTTCCAAGATGTTCGCTCTAACTCGTCTGCAGCTATAGGCTTTGGTTGATGTACCATGAGGCACTTCTGGCTGAAGTTATGACCCTTCATGAGCCTAGGTTGCATGCAGTCTGCCACGAAATTGTGGTAAATCGCCCGCTCGTGTCTGAATTTGGTCCGGGTCGGGACCCTCAGAACCCAGATACGCATCCGTTTCAGTCTACCAGCGCAAAAAAGTTGACCTGCATAACAAAATGTCCAACCAATGCCCCTCTTTTTGGATATAATGGTTCACGCGACTGGCAGCCCTGCTTTGCAGGTAACTGCACCTAGAGTCTAAGACAACCCATATGATTTCTTTGGGGTGCTCATGTGAAACGCATTAACAGCATGCACGTGAATTCACCTAAGCCTAAGCTTGCAGTGGACACAGACTAGTTGAGGCTTCCCCCACTGACGCATATGCCTTTAGGCACGCTTGCTTCCATTGACACCATTCTGCATCCTCTATTCCCTCGCTCACTCCGCCTGAGGACTCTCCTGGCGTAGCATGTCGAGGCGCTGCCCCCCCAGGAGGGGCGAGGGGGGGCCACAGGCCAACAATGTTGGTTTCCATGAGGGGGAATTGTATCTGGACCCCCGTCTACTGTAATCCTTTTATAAGACCGCCAGAAGGCTACCCCTAATTTTGGGGAACCCCCAAACATCGAGGGCTCCAGGCTATCATGTTGATCCCAAATTTCTGGGTTCCAGAATTCCAGATTTTTAGATTTCCGAACTTCTAAATTTCTAGTTGTCTTTTTCTGCGTTTTCTAGACTTCAGGGCAAATCTAGAAAGCTGGAAATCTGGCAAGCAAGTAATCTGAAATTCTGAAAATCCAGAAACCTAGAAATCAAACATGTGAAATCCCTGAAATCTGGAAATCTGAAAACTGGACATCTAGAACCAACAATACAAAACAAGGCAACTTGGGCCCTTGAATAAAAAACAGAAGTCTTTCTCTATCTTGAATAGAGCCAGGTTTTTGGGCACTATGGGTGAGGCACACACAAGGATATAAATGCTATGGTAATACATCTTCACCCCAACAAAGGGGCTGCATATGTGCAGCCTCTTGTACAAGTGTGGACCGCTGGGGACTGCAGAAATCTAGAACACCCGTAAGCTTGAATGCCAATCATAATTTTTGTTTCGAGTCTCAATCTTTGCGGTGGTCGGAAACTAACTCACCCACTCATTCCGGAGTGCGAGCATTCAAATCCTGGGATAACGGTGATGTTGTACCAGTTGAGACGAGAAATTACACTATTATTCATTCCGTATTCACAACATATCATTACGTGCCCTCCAACACGATGCAATGGCTGCTATCAACATGTGATCGAAATGATGCCGTTCAGTAATGGTTTCGCAAAAGTAGTTCATGATCTTACAAAAGCAATATGTGTGATAGGTCACAAATATTCCCCTCCTATTGACAAAAATAACATCATGGTCAGGATCATCCAGTTCCTCTTTCACTATGACTCTGTGCTGTGTTATAACCCAAACCCTGATTGATAACACCTCCCCTTAATAGGGTTTATAATTGGGATACTAATATTAAGGCCCGTAAAAGGAGGGGGTTTAGTAATCATGGGTTTACATTAAACACCTAAACCCTACACCCTAAATAGGCCTTCTAGGGTTAATATAGCGGAAATATAGTAATACAGGGGGAATACAGGGGTTATATAGGGATAATGAAAAAGAGTATGGAAACTACTATTTAGGGTTCCATGATTCATAAACCCCCTCCTTTTAAGGGGTTTAGGGTTTTAGGGTTAAGGGCCTCAATATTAGGATCCCTATTATAATCCCGATTAAGGGAAGGGGTTTACTGATCATGGGTCTACATTAACCACTACCATCTTGTGTTGCTTTCATTTCTGACAACTTCTAGAACTCCACATCAACCAAAACCTTTGTGTTTGCTTCAAATGTTTAGCTCATGCCTGCAAAGTGCAAAAGATGCTTGTTGCAAGGTGACAGAGTGCGCAATACAGGCTGCTTTCTCCACATTTTCAGACTCAAAAGAGAATTTTCCATCGCGCCATGACATTTAATATTTAGTGGCTTCCTGAACCTAATGCCTGATTACCATCATTTGCTGAAGAGATCGCATATATGTACCCACACAGAAACTACCGCTGTAGTGTTACCATTTTCCCCTGTAGCAAGGACGTCTGCTCTAACATCACCCACTGAGTTGCTCTGTAGTCATATACAGACTTGCTTCGCTCATTTCCTGCTTCTTGCAATCAACTACCAAGTATGGTTGCAATGCCAAGAGCAGGCCTCGCCAGCGCCATCCCCCAGCTTTGGCAGTGGAGCATCGCCTGCGTTCTTGCGCGCCTGGCGCATGACTGAGGACACCGGATGCAAGAGTCACACTGAACAGCGAATGTGGGAATACAATCCCCGTGTAATCTCTCGAAAATCCTCACATAATCCATATACAGCCGCTATATGATCCCCATATAATACCTGTGTACTATATAATCCCTATATAACCCCTACACAATCGCTATATGACCCCTGTATAACCCCTACATAACCCCTAAAACCCCTTTTTAATCCCTGTATAATCTTTCTCCTTATTCCTCATTTCGACTTGAAAGAAGAAGCCTGCTCTAGCTCCGAGCTCAGCATCTGCACCACCTGCATTATACAGGGTTTAGGGTTCAGTGTTATGGAAGGGGTATATAAGGGTTATATAGGGGTTATACAAGAGCCATGTAAGGGGTATATACGGGTTATGTAAGGGGTATATAAGGGTGGTTATATGGGGTTTTATACTGTTATGTATCCTTTAAGGGTTTGGGGGTTAGGGGTTGTATGGGGGTGATAGGCATGGTTCTGAGCCAAAGCAGTGGGTTCAACTTAAGAAACAGGAATAATAGTAATCAGAACCGTAATACTACTGATACTACTAGTAGTGATAATGCTTGTAAGAAGTGGTAATAATACAGGTCGTACTAATAATAGTAATGATAATAGGAAAAGCAATCCTGCACCCTCTGAATGTAGCTGCCACCAGGCCATCCGGCAAACAAGGATCTACCTTCACATCTCCTCGCTTTCGCCAGCTATC